GTTATAGTGCATGTTATAACATGATGTATTTAACAAGCGTCATGAAAAATTAATTTAGGGATAAAGATTAGATTTAGATTCTTGTTATACAGTCCACGATAGTTACTCTTAAAGGTGACATAAAATTTCTCGTTAAAAGCCTTCTAGTTCAAAAAAAATAAAACTTTTATAACATGGTCCCTATAGGGACCAAAGGGCAAGAAAGGGTTAAGTTGTGGAAACTTTTCTTAGCAAATGATATACTAATCCTTCACTACACTCTAAAAAAAAGCCTTTTTAAAATAAGATGGCATAAGTCAGTTGCAAAATAGTCGGATTGATTTGGCTTATTATAAGACTTTTCGATTCCTCATATGCTCTTCGGTCTTATATTAAGACGAATCAATCCAACTATTTCGCAACTGACTTATGCCATCTTATCTTAACGTGAAATATTTTTACATCTTAATTCATTACTAGCAGTTAAAGGTAGTTCTGTTGAAGGACCTCAAGTATTGACCATATGAATGGTTTTAGTAAGAAATCAAAATAAATTGACAAGTTTTTTCGAATGAATGATTTTTCCGTCAGTTATACAATTAAGATGGAGAACATAAAGTCGGATTTTTTGTCGATCCTTTACGAAGAAATGAATTCAGTTGGCAGTTACACTGTCCTGAAGATGCCGTCAGTCAGAAATCTTGTTCTGTAACAGTTCTCACAACATTATGTAACATGTTCGAAGTTATTTGCACTAGCACTGCTAGTATTCAAGAGATAATGATGCTCAGTCATAGTTTAATCTAATCTTTTCTTAATTTTTTTTCTTGTTACAGATTATGAGAAAAACGCTCAATCTCGGAAATAAAGGTGAGAACTGCTCGATATAAAAGTTCGACTTTCTGTTTTTCTAAAGATCTGACTTTTTTGTATAGGAAGAGAATGTGATCATTACTGAGTATTTCATCGTCAAGCTGTTTTTCAAGATGATGTAGCATGCTATCTCTTAACAAAATATACTCAAAACACTAAAAAATAAGTGTTTTGTTGCTTCACTTCCAAAATCGCACACACAAGAGGCATCACTCACCAACTTTCTTTCTTTTTAAATCTGCATTCAACTGACTGTAATCAACTTGGATGCACAAAAAATTTATTTCTGTCATTCTCGCTGTTATAGGTGAAAATCGTATCTTTATCAAATATGGAGCTTTCATTTTAATTTTAAATATTTATCAATAATTTTCAATTTGTTGTTTATAATATATAATAATCTTGACGTTGAGAGAATGAGCGTTTATTCCAAATATAGAGAACCTCGCATGACCAAAGGGAAGCCCCGTAAGATGACATGTATTTACCGGTGCTAAGATATCGCTCACATCAATTTTCCCTTTTCATCATTTTGAAGAAAAAACTAAAAGGATTATTATCGAGCAATGTATATCGTGGAGTGTCATCATCATTCTGATGCAGAATGGAATCCAGTTCAGTTCAGAGCAAATTTTTTTGTTGCGATGTTTCACGCATCGCGCCTGAAACCGCTAAACAAGCATTATACTGTAAAGTGTTCAAGCGATTCAAGTTTTTGGTCTACTAGTATCAAGGATAGATCTAAAGAATCCGTCTTCGTTTCCAGCGTCGTATTTTTTGACGGACGAATCTAACAGTCTTATTCGAAGACTTGAAAAAAAGTATAGATTTTACCGTCAGGATGAGAATATTTATTTTCTGCTGAACACTAGTTTTTATTGAGAAACTTGTAAAAATGTTGTCTTTTTGCGAAAGAACAAAGTGGATTATTATTTAAAATGTTCTAGAGAAAGGATCTTAGCCATTTTAATGCAGTCCTTTTCTTACTCATGATTATACTTAAAAAGTTTTTGAGAAAGTTGTCTTTTTTCAAAAAGTTACAAAAAAGTCACATTGCAATAATTTATATAGACCAACAAGTAAAATGAAACGGCTTGTTGATACCGTTTGAGGAAGGTCATTGAACTTTAAGTTTTAAATATTTTACTCTTTCTACGATTTATTTAGAGGTTTATTTAATTAACCCTTGACTTTGATGAAGTCTTCATCACAAAATAAAACAGTATATGTTTTGTCGGATGAAGACTTCATCGAATTCAAGGGTTAATTAAATAAACCTCTAAATAAATCGTAGAAAGAGTAAAATATTTAAAACTTAAAGTTCAATGACCTTCCTCAAACGGTATCAACAAGCCGTTTCATTTTACTTGTTGGTCTATATAAATTATTGCAATGTGACTTTTTTGTAACTTTTGAAAAAAGACAACTTTCCTCTAAACAACTCTTCCTCTAAATAAATCGTAGGAAGAGTAAAATATTTAAAACTTCAAGAAACAGACTTGTCTACAACCAAGTTATAATGTAAAAGATTATCAAGTTCATCATGACTATGGATGTCAGTCGCGAACACTGGTCGAAAACGATAAAAAAAAGTAATTTATTATATTTGTCAGACATACAATAGATTAGTTTCATTAGTTGTTGTTCATCAGAATGACAAGATTGTTATAAGATATTATCCACGTAACAATTTCATAACTCATTTTTGCTCAATTTTTATGACCCAATTAGATGTGTACGTATGAATAAAGTCATAACACTAAATAGAATAAATAATGTGATTAGTTTTGACGATATTCGCTGTTTAATCTAAAGTAATTTCACATTGATTTCCAGTAAATTTCGGTCGACATAAACAAGCCACTTTGTTTCCGCGAGAGACGCATGTACCTCCATGTGTGCAAGGATTTGGAAAACACGGATGTATTCTTGTTTCACAAAATAAGCCGGTAAATACTTGATTACAATTGCATTGAGCAAAACCCTCAAAACCAATGTAACACGTGCCGAGATTCAGACAAAGTGTATCGTTGCATTCTCGAAGATCATATTGACAAACATTCCCCGTAAAGCCCGTCGTACATTGGCAACGAAAATCGTGAACGAGATCGATACACGTGCCATTATTAGTACATGAATCAATTCGACAGTCATCGATATCTAAAACGAACAATCACGCAATCAGAATAGAAGATGAATGATTTGATGTGTATTACTTATTTCACAGTATTTTCCAGTAAAACCTTTTAAACATTGGCAAACATAAGAGGCCACACCATCGATGCATGTAGCACCATGCTGACACGAGTGATTGATACAGTCATTCCACTCTACAAGAGAAAAATATTTTGGCATAAACGTCATAGGCTCATAAAAAATTAAATTCCTACAAGTTACCTACTCATATCACAACGTTGACCCTCATAATCGATTGGGCATATACATTTAAAATTATCGACGGTATTGACACAGACACCACCATTGAAACATTGTGGTACTGAACAACGTCGCGTGGCTATAATAAATATGTGTGGTCTTTACGATAGATCTTGTTAACATGAAGTTGTTAGTTACCTTTTTCACATCTTCTTCCATGAAAATTATCGATACAATGACATTTATATGTGTCTTTGTCGTCATAACATGTTCCGTTATTAATACACGGATTGTATTTTGCACAATAACTGCTAACTAAAAACGACAAAGAAGACGATCAATTGAGGTTAAGTTTGACTAAATGTTCTATAAAGTCAGAGATAAAGCACGACGATTCATTTCAGAAAGCAAATACAAACATGCTTACTTGCCTTGATCACATCTTCTACCGTGCCAACCGGCATTACATTTACAACGAAAACCACCTCTTACATGTGGAACACAACGACCGTTTCTACATGGGTTATTTGGTTCGCAAGGATTGATATGTGCTAAAATAACTTCTAACTAGTGCTGAGTGCACTTTGGCAGAATTATTCTACTCACATTCCTCACAACTCTTGGCTGCAATAATTCGATTTTGACAGAGACAAACATATTTATCTTCTGGCATTGGAATACATATCCCATCTAAACCGCACGGATCACCCAAACATGATTTGGACTTTGAATCTAGAAGTTGTTATCTAAAGCGTATTATATCCATATTTCCTCTTCATAAATATGGCACAAACCTTCATCGTTGCTATCATCGGCTGCCTCTTTCAGTAGCAATGGAATAAGCTCTTCTGGTACCTGTCCGGTCACTAAAAATAAAAGTTCCTACTATGATGCCAGCTCTTAATAGTAAAGTACGAGATAATCTTACTTGTCTCACAATTGAGCCCTGTATAACCATAAGGACACTCGCAAATATAAGTTCCATAGCCCATCAAGCATCGTCCACCATTTTTGCAACTACACCCAACGTGGTAGGCTACAAATACCATATGCAGTTTACAAAAGATATCTATAACCACATTAAAAAAGTCTCTTACAATATGTACAATCGTCTTGCCACGGTGGACAAATGCAATTAAATCCATCTTTTGTATCCAAACAGATTGTGCCTTCCGTACATGGAGAATTTGAGCAATCGTCGAAACCTGAAAATAACAGAATGTTTCCTTATACGATTGTACTTCGCAAGAATTGCATACCCCGAATCGATTCAAAATCGCCGGAATTACACATATCTGTCGAACACATGCACCAATAATTTCCATTGTATGTTAAACAACCATCTACTAGAAGATCACGTACCCAACGTTCATCAGTACAACGTCTGTCTGTCACTAGAAATACAAGAGAGCAGGATTGAAACAAAAATATTTTTAATAATTTTTTTTTGACTATGAATAACATCAAAATTATGCATACAAGTATCATTAGCATGTTTTGATTTTAAATAACAACGTTGAGTCCAATGACATGGGACAATACATTCACTATCGATTGAAACACAAGCAAAACACCGTTTATCCTCTTCGACAACTGGTATTGCTGTATGACTCAATGAGCTTTTTGTGGATAATCCTAGAATCATCAATAGTAAATAAGATACAAATATACATAGTCTAAATTATCAAACTGGTAGAATATACCGATATGTGATCGTTGGAGAACGGTTCTATTTGTTAATATTGAACACCGTATTAGGTAATTTCGCAGATGAAAGTGAATTAAGATTGACAAAATGTAATTTGACCACCAAATAATCTAAATTGAAGGCATTTAGTGAAATTTGTTAGTAGCATAAATCACGGAAAAACCAAGGCATCAAGAACGATCACGCAGACATAAATTAATATCGAAACGCTGGAAGTAATCTCAGTATATATAATCATATAAGCGCAACACGGACATTGGTAAACTAATCTGATATATAACGTTTTATATTTAATTTTCTTTTTTTCTTTTGTACAGTAGTACCTTTTAATGCGACCATTTCTTTTAACCAACGCAGAGGCTTTTGCAGAAGCTGAATGTGCCGCTGGTCACCATCTCTTCTTGGTTCCACACTGAAAATAACTCTCTCTAATGTGACTATCTATCACAGGAGAAAACAGACACAAAAATTAATGTATACCTTGATGGTTTCTGTTCAGACTTTAGTTAAATAAACCATTATCTCAAGAATAAAAGTGGCTAACGTCTTTGCAAAGCGATCACTTTTGCTTGCCCACAGAAGGGAAAAGAGCATAAACACAATCGTATTTATACGAGTGATAGAATAGAACGTATGCGTTGTATGTTTGTGATGTACAATGACCCAATTTTTTGGGTCATTCATCTGGATTCAGCTCCACGTACATCTAGGTGCATGTGCACCTGAATCCAGATAAATGACCCAAAAAATTGCGTCGTTTTTGCATGGATACTAGCTTGTAGTAGCAATTATTTAAAGTAAATGCGTAAGAGTTCTAATTTCTTATCCCATGTAATGTGATGTTTTGGGTCCCCACTTCCGTGCTCTCAGACAAAGATATATCAAACAGAGCTTTAAGCCTGTTTTCTCTATGAATGATTCAGCCAAAAGCTGATCATTTTAAAAAGATTTTATGATATTTAAATATGGATTAGGCATCTGCATGATATCTTTTTGTCTCAACGGACGAGTTGAAAAAGTTCCAAGACATTAATATAATCATTAAAAGTCTTTTTTTTAGTACAATTACTAGTAGTCTAGAAAATGTTCAGCTTTGATTTTAGTACATAACTCAAATGATCGTCGATAAGAACTCTTAAATCAATTAAATATAATATAGTCATTTCAAACTCTTACAGTTTTAATAAATTTTAGCTTTCAATACAGATCAACCTCAGCTTTTGGTCAAATTAAAAATTTTCCATCATTCACCAAGCATTAAAACTCTACTATTTGCCTCCAACTGTTGCAGAACATGAGATACTCAGCACAACTTACCATCGTTGTCACATATATGAGCACAGTTCATGTGCGTAAAACTTAAGCTTTTTCTAGTATAAAATTTATTCATTCTTTACAATATATTCTAAATAGATCATATTGAGTGATTATGTTAAAGAGTTTTCAATAGAAAGGTGTCTAATGAGACAGATAGATTAGGATAAGATTAAATAACAATGAAAAAAAAACGTAATAACATAATGACAGATTGTTACACGTTCAAAAAAAATAGTAGTAATCAATTGAAAAATAAGTTCTTCTGTATTTTTTATATAACATGCATTAGAGATTAAAAGATCACTGTTAAAATTACTCAATAGAGTATTATAATTATAAATATTCATTGTAGCTTAAAAAGAAAAGCATTTCGACAAGAAGAGGTGGGTTAACAGGATTACATTAGTTCTGAAGCGAATTATTTCAAGTCGTTCCCTTCAGGTATCAGCAAGATTTTTGGTTTTACAACAATATGCAGACATTGTCATTTTTACATCTAAAAGAGGCTATTGAAAAGAAACACAGTTAATGAATTGTATACTCGAGTTGAAGGAAGAGAACTTTATAGTTGATAAGATGAATTCCAAGACTCTTCAGCCAGTTAACAAATGAGCTGTCTCAATAGCAAATACAGTTGATCATAAGTTCAAGCGTAAATCGTTAATTGATGACTTTTTTCTCTATAAGTCGGATTTAATTTAATCTATTTTAAAGTAAAAACAGACGATTTTTTTATCACAGTTTTCACTGTAAAAGGAAAGAATAATGAATAAATAAAAAGCAGAAGGAGAAAGAAAAAGAAAGGTCAGAGAAGCATGAAAGCATATATAAACAGATAGAGCTTCTGTAAATTTCTTCTTTACGCATGTTTTATTTATATTTAAAAGTGCAGAAGCGTTTTTAAAAACGATTTTAGAAAAAAAAGACTCAGAATGATGTTAAGCCATTTTTCCAGTATTCGATAATTCTGACCTTTTTTCTATAAACTTTCTTAAAGCCATCTGCTCAACATTTCTTCCTTTGAATTTGTACTATTTTCAAAATAATCTAAATGTCTCAACTTAATCATATATATCATACATACACACATACATATATTTCTGTTTTTTTCGGCATATGAGAACTTGAAAAGATGATCCAAATAGTGTTGTACTTACTACTTTTTTTTGCTAAATTAATAATAACAATAACAAAAACAAGACGAGTTAATGGTAAATGGTAATGTAAATGAAATTTTTGGAACGAAGAAGAAAAAGTCTTTTTGATAAATTATTCGGCAACTTTGTAAATTTTTCTTTTTCACCTTCATCTAAAGCATTGATGAAAATCAATACACTTAATTTTTATTTGTTTTTGCTCACCAGTACGTGTATTTAAATGTTCAACTTCATAAACGTAATTTCTTTTAATATCATCGTCACCTTCATCCAAAAATAACGTATTACAATTTCCGCACTCATAAGTAATTTCGCCATGTATAATATCAATAACTTTTTCGCATTTAATACACAAAAGAGTCTTTTTAAAAACCTAAATACCAATTCCAATTATATCAACTTCAAATTCTTCTTCAATCGAAGTCTCACGAAGTACACCTTCAAATTTTTTCTTAATAGTCTAAAGGTTAGGTAGCGAAAATAGGAATATCTCATTGATAGTACGATAGGATTACACGAGTGTGAACAAAAGGATAATTTTAGAAAAAAATAAAAATAAAAATACCAAAAAAATGTGCATTTTCTTGTTTACTTTTTTAGTTGGTAAAATTGATGTAGCACTTGTTGATGATAAAATATATTGATTCACTAATTTCTGTTTTTCAAGATTACTGATGATGTAACAACTGTTTTCAACGGTGGCGGCAGCTTTCTCTGGTTGTAAGAAAATCCAGACACCACCGGCTTCATCGCTAACAAGAATATATGGTATAGAAACACATTTATCCCACTGTTATTATTTGAAAGAGTAAAAGTGGGATAAATAAATAAGTAGATATATATTATAAAAACACCTACTAACTAAGTCTGTATCATAACGGGATAACTCTTTACAATTCACCTTATGATGTAAAATGGCTTGCACACGTACACATACACGCATTATCAACAACAGTTTTACTTAGTTAACTTGATGGTGAGTCATTTAACATAGCAATCGTTCCTGAGAATTGTTTTAATTATCGTTTGTGCTCCTATGAGTCATACCATAAATAGAATAACGATATAATGCAAAAAAAGTCACTCTGTCCAAAATATCTCTCGAACCGTAACTTACGAGGGAAGCTGCAAATCGCTTTCGGGCTAAAACCTATGGGTTATAGGTTATCGACTATGCTGATTCCAAATATAACAACCATTTTGGCCGATAGGTCTTCAGAGACCGGATTTCTTGAAAACCAGTTTTTAAAAACTCCTAAACAATAACCAACACCTTTGTTAATGAGGCAGGATTGTAACCGGCAGATTTCTGATTAAAATGAGACCCATCCCAGCTCTACACGATCTTTCTTTGCAAAGTTATAGAGTTTGCAAGAAAAGCTCTAAATGTTCATTGTCAGCTCGAAGCTACTGAAATAAGAAGAAATTAATTTAGGGCTTTACTCGTAAATTCTACAACTTTGCAAAGAAAGACCGCGGAGGGCTGGGAGGCGTCTCATTTTAATCAGAAATCTGCCGGCCACGATTTGCAACCTGGGGAGCTTCCCTCGTTAGATAAATTTTCGTTGGCCGAAAGGGCACACCTACATAATATAACAAATATAAAGTCCAAAGGAACAATTTCGATCGGATGAAGCGTCGATAAAGAAGTGGGTCGGACAAAGTTATGCATTTTGTAATCTTGTGCATTTTTAACAGATTGGTTATACTAAAAGCATAACCGGGCTTGAACTATAGCTAAAGCTACACTTGTGAGTATGTGACTAAATGAACATGTTTACCTAAGTATCTACAAGACCCATTCAATATTCGGGTGTCCGGGATTCAGTACATTCACTGGGCAATTGGTTCGCTTCGACCTGAATGATATTCTTCCCAGACCATAGATAATATATTTCATACACAATGCATTCAGTTTAAAGATTTTCTATAGTCTGAAAAACCGTTTGATTTTCTGAAAAGCGACATCAAAGGATTACGTCATTTTTTGAAAAATGAACAATTTCTTGGAATTTTAACTATGTTCTAGAAAAAGGTTTTCCCATACGATAACATCCACAGTTATACCACTCATATTTTCTTTCTTTTCTAAATCAAATTTTCAAATAGAAAAACAAATGTCAACAAATTTGTTTGATTTCAAAAACAAATTCTTTGAAATCAGATCTTTCAAAAAATAAAGATTTGATGAACAGAAATCGGCACGGACCGAATTTTTTGACCAGATTCGAGCCGGTGAAGAAAGTTTTGAGCCTAAGTTCAGCCCGGCTCGATTATTTTGAATTATTTTTAAATTTCTGCAACTTTTAATGCTCCTTTCGCTGATAAACTGGTATAAGTGTGCTTCTAACACAAATCTAACATTTGTATCTATGTCTTATTTGTTCTTAGTTTTTCAACCTTTGTATGTACTTAGGTAAACATGTTCATTAGCTACATACATGAAAAGCAAACATAAATGTTATAACACTGATTACAAACATGCTTATGCTAAACGTAACAATTTCATTGATCTATTTAACAATATGTCGTTAACTAAATCTAGACTAATTCTCGACCGTCTTTCTAACACAATAAAACCCCTAGCCGAAGCCCGACACGGTCCGACCACTCTTAAAAATCTTCTAGACAGGTCCAGTCTAGACCTGCCCGTGCTGAGCTCTGCTGATGAACTCTAATAAATACCAGATGTTTACCTAACTTGTGTCAAATGCGTATTTATGTCGTGGTCTTTTGGGAAACAAACATGAATAATACGAAACGCATTATAATTATGGTTAAATATTTCATCTTATCACTATGATTTTTAATTAATTATTTTTGAATTCACTCTCTCACTGTGATATTTTTGTGTAGTAGACTCGATTTCGTGTATGTCACGAGAGCCTTCTACATATTAGCGAAGAAATAGCTTTATTATTTTTTAGAAATATGTGGTGTTTATAGAGTGCATGAGCGCGCAAAACAAAACGTCAACTGAAACGTATATGGCTGACTCATGAGTATTAACGTAGTTTTTTCATGTTATATACTGGCAGTGTACTTTCGTAGGCAGTAATATCAGAAAAAATACTGAGTATTTGAAGATTTAATTGAGTACCCAATTACTGAATAAGTTTCACCAAGGCAGCCATACACGAAAAAAACTACGTTAATACTCATGAGTCAGCCATATACGTTTCAGTTGACGTTTTGTTTTGCGCGCTCATGCACTCTATAAACACCACATATTTCTAAAAAATAATAAAACTATTTCTTCGCTAATATTCAGAAGGTGCTCGTGATATACACGAGATCGAGTCTGCTACACAAAAACACCATAGTGAGAGAGTGGATTCAAAAATAATTAATTAAAAACCATCTTGAATATGTGAAAAATACCACTATGGCACTCATATACCAAAAAATACTTCATCATAGTATTCAATTACATAAAAATTTCTTAATATTTGTGATATTACTGGCAAATTTACTTAGATATACTGTCTTATTGTGTTTTGCTTTACGCATGATTAATGCTGAACTTGTTTCAACTCAAACAATAAGAGTGAACAAATGAGTAACAAAATGGATCGCACAATTTATTCTCTTTTGCTAGAGCCGTTACAAGACAAATGTGGCCCTGTTATTATCATTAATTCCGACCAAAAATATTTGAGAAAAGGATTTTCATTTTGTATCAAACTTTGCGTAAACAGAATTGACATTTGTTCATTCGACCATTGTGTTTTGGAAAACATCATTTATTACAATTACATAAAGAAAATTATAAACAAATAAAGCTCAAATAATAATTTTTAACTGATGATAAGGTTACTGAAGAGTCAGATATAACTTGATTCCGTTGAAGTATTTATCAATCCAATACCCTAAAAGTAATAAATGAAAGATATAAAAGGAAGATCATCAAGCTCAAAGATTTGAAAAATAAAACTTAAACGTTCACATTTCCGATGTTTTTCGTTCATTTAGATGTGTAATTAGTCGAACTGTTCACTACAGTGTACTTACACATTTTAATAATTACTCTTGACAATCTTTTATCAGAAAAAGTATTCACAATTTCTGTTAAAAAGGACTTACACTCAAAATCGAATAGTTCATGTAAACTTACCGCCTCTAAGTTTAAGTTGTCAATGTTTTTGTTTAAATCAGAGATATGCATTATGGCTAGAATAGAAGAAAAATAAATGATTAAAAAAGTTTTCACTAATGGAATGTGAAAGACACACCTTCATATTGAAAATAAAGTGTAAAAGATTGCGATAATTTTTCTTGAAAGATTTGACTAAATTTTTAATTCATTTGTATGCATGAAAATATTTCTTATCATCTATCATTATTATTATCAGTACAACAATCAAGATTTTCATTCATAAAACATATAAATTGACAACGTACATTGTCAACAAATATTGATGAATTCACTGATTCATCATTTGAGAAAAATATTTGATTTTGTCTCAATTTTTCTAAAAACATCATACGACATTTATTCACATTTTCTGCATAAACTTTTTTCATTTGTACATTCGATATTGTGTTTAATTTTTCTTTTAAATATGTTGAAATATATTTTCGAATTATTTGATCTGTTTGATGAATTACATTTGTTTGATTAATTTTTGTTGATTCATCACGTTGTTGTTGTTGTTCAAATAAAAAATTTATCATTTTTTCCGGTTTCAAACGAACATTTGTTATTAATTGAAAAAATTGTATAATTGTATTTAAATGAAATCCGTATGTTGTATCGATTATCATAGAATTTTTTTCCCATATAATATCAGGTAATTCATATTTAGATTGTATATTATGTATAGATTGTTCTGTTACATTACCATTTCGTTTTTTATTACGTTCTAATGTTGTGTGAATATTACATTGAAGATGAATCGACATAAAACTTGTATTGAAACATTGAGCAATTTGATAATAACGATAACGCATACTATGATAATAAAAATTATCTTCAAGTACAATAATAATATTATTTGATGGAATATTTTTTGTACAATAAAATATTTGATAAATACGATCATAGATAATTTTAGCATATTTGAAAGAAGAATAGTCAATTAAAAATTTTAATTCATTTGATGGTGGTGGTAAATTAAGATTATTTTTGATATATATTTCAATAATATTTGCTATTAATAAACGATATTGTTTCCATGATTCATTAATTACTTCTGTTTCTATATTAAATAAAATTTTATCAAAATTAATAAAATACCAATTTGAATCTATTTGCATAAATTTATTTTCTATACATAATTTTATTTTATTCACACATAATTTTCGTAATGTAGAATTTTGTTCAACGAATTTATTAATTATACATTGTACAATGTTGATTAATGTTGTTTTCAAACTAGCTGGTGGACCACACACCAAAACAAGTGTTACATGTGTCATAGAAATAAAGAAAATATTCTGAAATAGAATTAAAATAGGTGTTTCTAGTTTTGTACTATAAAATACTTATTCATTGATTAATTTGTCAAATATTAAACTCTTCTAACAACTAAATAAAATTGTCATTAATTTAGATAAATGAACAATTCAACGATGGGGGTTGTTTTTTTTTGACAATATTATGTATGATTAACATCAATTTTCGATATGTCCTTTGAATTTATACAATTTTGTTTTTCTCATTGACCTTGGTCTGGTTTCTTTTTTATGTTTCGAAACACAGTCTATTTGTTTTATTTACTGAAGACAAACTTACAGAAAACAGTCAAATTTTTACAAGACAATCAAGGATCATCGAAATTTGACTGAAGTAAAAGTATTTTTTCCAAAATAAAAAAAAAAAAAGAAGAAATAAAATGAATTATTTTGACTGAAAATTTTTTTAGATTTAATTAATTGTTTTTCATATTTTTTGTCAATATGGAACTATTGTTTTGTATTCTTTTTTTTAAAGTTTTTTTTTTTTTTTTGTTTTCTTCAATTAATTTCTAATATTTTATAGGTGACTATTTTTTTTCTAATATGAGAAGAATAAAGTTTTCTTTTCTGATTTTATTTCAAAAAAATGTAGAACAATCAAATTGTTGTTGTTGAAAAAAATATGATAAGAGAATCACACACCTGATGTTGCTTGGCAAAAAACAACGTTATAAAATAAAAAATAAAAAAAGTAAAGAATAACGACTAATGCTGAATGGGTGTAAAAAGAAAATGAATATTATTAACAGATTATAGACCTTGTTGTTGTTGTTATTATTAAAGATTAATCTTTTAAAATACAAAAAATTTCTAAAACATAAAGATCAGGTTCGTTATTTTATATATAATTATTTAATAGAAGAAGAGCAAATCAATTGATAAACTAAACAGTGGAAATAATGAGTCGAGTGGATTCGAGTGTATTGAATACTCAATAAAATAGAAATTAGAAAATGAATTAATTATTAATAACGCGACCTTTTTTTTCTTTTTCTTTTTTTAGTAAAGTGATATTAGAAAAATGTTTGATAATGAAGATTCAACATTACAAGATGATACTGGTCTACAATATGTAGATTGTATCCGATTGATTGATGGTGGTCAACTTCATAAATTTGAAAGTTTAGTTATGAAACATGATTTAATTAAAATGGAAACAACAACAAATAATAAACCACTTTTATTTAATGCTATTGAACATAATGATGAAAATTTTGTTCGATTACTGTTAGAAATGGAAGTACCATTAGATAAAACTTATGGAGTAAGTTAAGAAACAAGATTTCAAGATATCATAGAGTCTATTTATCTAAAATTGGATAATGATGCTGGTGAGATTTTCTTCAAATGTTTCTATCCTTTTTCTAACTCGTATAAGATAGAACTATATCACGCAAATCTATCAATGAAAGAAATGATCAGATCATTAGATCTCAACGTTGAATAAATCTATTATAAGAGATTCATTTCCATTTCATCTAGGTTTTTCTAAAAACATCATACGACATTTATTCACATTTTCTGCATAAACTTTTTTCATTTGTACATTCGATATTGTGTTTAATTTTTCTTTTAAATATGTTGAAATATATTTTCGAATTATTTGATCTGTTTGATGAATTACATTTGTTTGATTAATTTTTGTTGATTCATCACGTTGTTGTTGTTGTTCAAATAAAAAATTTATCATTTTTTCCGGTTTCAAACGAACATTTGTTATTAATTGAAAAAATTGTATAATTGTATTTAAATGAAATCCGTATGTTGTATCGATTATCATAGAATTTTTTTCCCATATAATATCAGGTAATTCATATTTAGATTGTATATTATGTATAGATTGTTCTGTTACATTACCATTTCGTTTTTTATTACGTTCTAATGTTGTGTGAATATTACATTGAAGATGAATCGACATAAAACTTGTATTGAAACATTGAGCAATTTGATAATAACGATAACGCATACTATGATAATAAAAATTATCTTCAAGTACAATAATAATATTATTTGATGGAATATTTTTTGTACAATAAAATATTTGATAAATACGATCATAGATAATTTTAGCATATTTGAAAGAAGAATAGTCAATTAAAAATTTTAATTCATTTGATGGTGGTGGTAAATTAAGATTATTTTTGATATATATTTCAATAATATTTGCTATTAATAAACGATATTGTTTCCATGATTCATTAATTACTTCTGTTTCTATATTAAATAAAATTTTATCAAAATTAATAAAATACCAATTTGAATCTATTTGCATAAATTTATTTTCTATACATAATTTTATTTTATTCACACATAATTTTCGTAATGTAGAATTTTGTTCAACGAATTTATTAATTATACATTGTACAATGTTGATTAATGTTGTTTTCAAACTAGCTGGTGGACCACACACCAAAACAAGTGTTACATGTGTCATAGAAATAAAGAAAATATTCTGAAATAGAATTAAAATAGGTGTTTCTAGTTTTGTACTATAAAATACTTATTCATTGATTAATTTGTCAAATATTAAACTCTTCTAACAACTAAATAAAATTGTCATTAATTTAGATAAATGAACAATTCAACGATGGGGGTTGTTTTTTTTTGACAATATTATGTATGATTAACATCAATTTTCGATATGTCCTTTGAATTTATACAATTTTGTTTTTCTCATTGACCTTGGTCTGGTTTCTTTTTTATGTTTCGAAACACAGTCTATTTGTTTTATTTACTGAAGACAAACTTACAGAAAACAGTCAAATTTTTACAAGACAATCAAGGATCATCGAAATTTGACTGAAGTAAAAGTATTTTTTCCAAAATAAAAAAAAAAAAAGAAGAAATAAAATGAATTATTTTGACTGAAAATTTTTTTAGATTTAATTAATTGTTTTTCATATTTTTTGTCAATATGGAACTATTGTTTTGTATTCTTTTTTTTAAAGTTTTTTTTTTTTTTTTGTTTTCTTCAATTAATTTCTAATATTTTATAGGTGACTATTTTTTTTCTAATATGAGAAGAATAAAGTTTTCTTTTCTGATTTTATTTCAAAAAAATGTAGAACAATCAAATTGTTGTTGTTGAAAAAAATATGATAAGAGAATCACACACCTGATGTTGCTTGGCAAAAAACAACGTTATAAAATAAAAAATAAAAAAAGTAAAGAATAACGACTAATGCTGAATGGGTGTAAAAAGAAAATGAATATTATTAACAGATTATAGACCTTGTTGTTGTTGTTATTATTAAAGATTAATCTTTTAAAATACAAAAAATTTCTAAAACATAAAGATCAGGTTCGTTATTTTATATATAATTATTTAATAGAAGAAGAGCAAATCAATTGATAAACTAAACAGTGGAAATAATGAGTCGAGTGGATTCGAGTGTATTGAATACTCAATAAAATAGAAATTAGAAAATGAATTAATTATTAATAACGCGACCTTTTTTTTCTTTTTCTTTTTTTAGTAAAGTGATATTAGAAAAATGTTTGATAATGAAGATTCAACATTACAAGATGATACTGGTCTACAATATGTAGATTGTATCCGATTGATTGATGGTGGTCAACTTCATAAATTTGAAAGTTTAGTTATGAAACATGATTTAATTAAAATGGAAACAACAACAAATAATAAACCACTTTTATTTAATGCTATTGAACATAATGATGAAAATTTTGTTCGATTACTGTTAGAAATGGAAGTACCATTAGATAAAACTTATGGAGTAAGTTAAGAAACAAGATTTCAAGATATCATAGAGTCTATTTATCTAAAATTGGATAATGATGCTGGTGAGATTTTCTTCAAATGTTTCTATCCTTTTTCTAACTCGTATAAGATAGAACTATATCACGCAAATCTATCAATGAAAGAAATGATCAGATCATTAGATCTCAACGTTGAATAAATCTATTATAAGAGATTCATTTCCATTTCATCTAGGTTATGATTCAATCGTCTGATTTATCAATGGAATCTTCTATTCCAAGTTTAGAAAATCAACATCACATGATAAAACGTTTAATGAATGCTCATGAATATGCATTAGAATTAAATCGGCCACATTTAGCCAATATAATATGGAAAAAAATGAATTTACCATCGTTCGAAGAACGATATCAAAATACAATTCGTACAAATGATATAAGAAAATGTGATAATTTTATAAGAAAGATAAGAAATGAAAAACGACAATATGAACTATGTAAAGAAGGAATCTTTCTAGCAGCATATGCAGGTTCAGTTCGATTATTAGACTATTTTCTTACTCGATGGAAAATCGATATAAATATTCAAAAACAAACTGATGATGGTTATATAACGACACCAATACTAACAGCCATAACATCTAATCAAAGTGAAGCATCAAAATTTTTATTATTTCGAGGAGCCGATGGTAGTTTAAAAGGACAATTTGATAATGCATTAGTTACCGCTCTAAATTATAACAGTCATACAGATTTAATACGTTTATTACTTGAAAAAAATGTTGATTTAACAGCTCGACATCCTAGTTATCCAAAATTAAGTTTAAGAGATTATTGTGTTATAACCGATCGTGTTAAAGCAAAATGTGAAATTGATAATTATATAGCCAAATTAATATCAAATGGTTCATATAAAAAATTAAAATATTTAGTTGATCATGGTTATACACATTTAAATGTTCGTCTCAAAGGAAAACGAGACGGTAGACAATTAGCAAACGAAAGATACTATTCAAATATTGTTAAATTAATTGATGACGTTGAAGAAGCAAAAGCGAGAGCAAGACAAAAAATGAATTATTAAAAATAATAAAAAAAATACACCCACGTGTAAATTACAATATATGGTCACTCTTAGTTTGATTATTTCCAAGGTTATTAGACAAATTTCCTCATTACACTGAAGATCTCTGATTCTTACATCAAGTTCTAAGTAAATAATTCAGAAAAAAAATTATGCTTACGTTTTTGATCTTCTATTCTGTGACACGAGTTAAACGTCCCCAAAAAAAAGTCTAGATTGAAATGAAACAGTATAGTAAAAATGACTGATGAAATAGATGTAAGAGCATACATTTCATTAAAAAGACTTTATGTTAGAACGACAACTTATTTATTAATGAAAAATCACTTTCAAAATGAAGAAAAATGTATTTAAAAGTTTGAACAGTTGCCTGTCAAAATGCAACACCATCACGCTTCTGTTCACTATATGCAACATTTCAAGTTTTTTCTTCTTCTACAATTAATTCATTTCAAGTTTTCGAATATTTTTGAATAACTTTTGATAGCAACGAGAGATCTGAGGGTTTCTCCACTCCATAGAGAAAACTTTTGAACATGTGTTTTTAATATGTAAAATATTCTGAAATATTATGTTACAGTATCTGATATGTTCATCTCACACTTTGAACCACAAAAGGATATAAATAAAATAGCCAAAATCGAGTATATTTTGAATGAGTTACGAATTTTTTGATTTTACATGAAAATAGCCTAAAGGAGATTTTAGAATTTTTTAATGAAAACGAACATTACTACAATATCCAATGTTGTCAATAACTTATATTTCTGTTGTTGATGAAATTCTATCAAAAAGTTATTCAAAAAATATTCAAGATTACAATATTTTGAACTTTAGAGAGAATAATAGTAATTAACTTATTTCTGTTTTATAGTTATATCAATAGATATTGTTTCCTGCATAGAGGGATGCCTCGAAAATCCATGGATTAGAATAGTTCCAGAAAACGTTAGATCGTAGAAATGAAATGAAATTTTCTCTTTCACGTGCTTTCAATGGTAAAACTACAGATTTTAATAGTTGGCTACACTTGCCCTTAGTTATAACGTCCTGTCGGCATAAGAAAATAACAAGAACAGTCAAACGAGTCATTATTTATGTTTTCTGTGTCTTTCTTTTATCCAAATATGATTTGTCAACATCATCATTCGAATGAGATGAATTATTTCTCTGATACATAAAGGGTGGATCAGAATTACTGAAACGTTTCCATATTCCCAGATTTATCAATTCGTTTCAGTAATTCTAGCCCACCCTTTGTATGTTTAAGTTTCGTGTTTAGTTTTCTTCCATTATCAGGTGCTTTTTATCTTTTATCATCATCATTGCTCATCATTTTAATTTGCTTTTCTACATGAATTGTGTTTCTCATTGTCTCGTTTGAGTTTTCCGATGTATTATGTACAGTATTTAATATTAATATATTTCTCATAAATTTTGGATTTGTAACAAGTCTGAGTTTCAAGCATTTCCGAACGTCTTCTTCTCTGGCAGTTACGGACTATCGTTTTGTTGCCTGAATTTTAATTTTCTCTTCCTAATGCATCTAAATTATCTGTTATTGTTATTCTTAATTTTCTTAGTCTTTTTTTTAATCACATTTACCGCTTTAGCTGCCATCTACAATAAAATTGATAAATATCTATATACGGATCCAAGGTCAACTACTCTCAATCTGAAAGTATAATCATTTCAAAAACCGCTTAACGAACCGTCAACACAGATCAAGATTCATGCAGTTTGTAAAGATAGCTTGGTAAGAAACTTATATGATTTTGAATTTTCTAACCTTAATGTTACAGATTTTATTCTTCAATATTTCCTTACTGTATGCAAATATCGTTAAGCGAATATATACTTATTGAAATCAAGTTTTTTCATTTTTTCAATTCCAAACAAAATCAAATAGATCCTTTTCCAAATAGTATGTACAAAACATGGTCTTATGTTGTCAAAATGGACTAAATATTCATTTATTGTCATCAATTTTTTCGAATATGTGATTATATCTACAGATGTTTATTTTTCTTCAACATATTTCAGTTAATATAAAAACTCAACATATTGTCTTGGAATAAAAAACAACAATATACATAATAAGCAATGACGTCAAACTCTTGCAACTGCACTTTTCATCATCATCACTCAGTCAGTATACATTTATATATGTATATGACACACACAGCAATCAAACATGAACTATAATTGTAAGCTTGAGGAAAGATAAACGTCCACAAAAGATCATTTTTGAGTATATAGAACAAAAATAAAATATATATGATCATTTTTTAATTGTGTTTAGAAATATGTGGTAGATATATGATGTGAGCAAAAAAAGAAAGACTAAATTTATTCTGTAGACTAGTACCAAATCCATTTATCAATCAATCAATCTACATATCTATCAATATATCGAACAAATAATACTAATAATAATCATAATCGTTAAAGAGAGTTATCTTCTCTATATGCCAGCTGTATAGGTTTTTTTTTTTTATATTGACGTTTACATATGGATGAGGATGATGATAATAGTAATAATATGTGTTAAATAGGTGAGATATATGGAGAAGTAAAGATTAATCAAACTTTGTGAACCATGAGATATAAATAATACTTGGATATCATAACACAGCTGTTCTCCTCTCCTAACTTTAGATTGAACATATGTCTAGTTTAAGAAAAACGCTTTTTAGTTATAAGACTATAAAAAACGAGACTACTACTACTAGTAAAGAAAAAAAGAAGAAGATATTGAATAGGATAAAAGCCTCATCAAATCGCTAATTGTTGTATTAATTATTGTTTATGATAAAAGTCAAAAGAAACGGTATCTATCAGTATTCGATATGGTTAAATATATTTCTCTAAAGGTTAACGATGATCGATTTGTTATTATTAAAAATAAATTGCACTAACCATATATTGAACACATGACGTGTGTACGTAGAAATAAAAGACACGAGAAAGGTTAATAAACTCAAATGACCCACGATGATATGTCATGTGTAGCTACAAATACTCAGATTTGCGCATTAAACATTCTATTGTCAATTTAGAATAAAATACAAACTATATGTTTTTGAACGAAAATAAAAAAAAATTTTTTTATACAAAAACTCGTATAAGACTTGAAAATTCACTAATCCTAAACAACATCATATCAACTATCTTTTCTGCAAAAATATGTTTATCCATCAAAACAAAAACAAAAAATGTTCAATTTCTTTTTAATATTTTATTATTCATGATTTTCTTTTTAAAATTTTAACAGACAAAACAAAAAATTTTGTTTCAATAGTAGAAATATAATTCTTTTTGGTTTTTGGAAATTTTATGTACACAGTACTGATAAAAACAAATACAGAAAATTCTTTTTCTTTTAAGAAATCTTTGAGAATGAAAGCGAGAGTAAAAGAATCATGATAATGAACACATAGCTGCGATAAATTCTACTTTTTATCTCCAGAATTGTTCGCATCTGTGACATTAGTGATACTCGTTGTGGTAGTAGTGATAGTAGTGGTGGTGTGTCTATGAGATGATAAGACATTTTTTAACATACTATATGCGCCTACTAATGGAGAATTTTGTTGTTCAACTGTTCCACTATTCGTCATTGTAGATAGTCCATTTTCACTATTATTATCGGCAACTATATGTGATTCTGAGGAACGTTTTAATAATGAAATTGGATTTGCATTTCTTAATGATAGTTTTTTCTTTCTTGAAGACAACGGTGATGTATAATTGAGTGGCGTACTAGAACATGTTTGTAATTGTTGATGGGATAATGGTGGTGTCGTGTAAGTATTCAACGATGCTGAATTGGTACGTGTTCGTTTTACACTAGATGATTGTGATGATGTTATTGAATCCATTTTTGAAAAATTATTATGATTTTGTTCATTATTATTATTATTATTAAGTATATCATCTGATATTGAAGCTGAATTTGAACGTTGCTTTTTAACCCATGAACGTATTGAACTAACAGGATTTTTTAACGAAAAACGATTTGATGATGGCGATTTTAAATATTCGTCATCAGTAGATTTTAATTGAATAGAACCGAGATCAATTGATTCAACAATATCATTTTGTGTACTCGTGGCCGATGTTATTTTATCACCGGGTTGAGTAGGTACCGACTGTTCAGATTTTATTTGTTTCTTCTTGTCTATTTGTTGTTTCTTTTGATTATGATTATTTGTAGAAGAGTCAATTAATGGATCTATATCAAAACTGGCTTGTGTATCACTAAAATAAAAATAGAAAATAAGGATATTTGATCTGTTGTAGTTTTTATTCCAAAACAGAAGTTTGTTAGTCTAATGAGAAGATATTTGACGACAAAAAAACGTTTTTTAAGATCCAAATTCATAGCAGGCAGTAGAATCTATTCAATATCTATCACTCTCTGAAACAGTAAATTGATAAAGATCGGTTGTTACCTTAGTTGTTTTTTGTCCTCGTCATTTATCGTTTGTCGTTCTTTCGTATCATCTTCTCTGCATATAACGACAATAGGTGCTGAATTTTTTTCTTCTTCATCGTCAAAATGTTGTTGTTCTTGAATCACCGGTTCAGTATGCTCATCACTGACAATTTTCTTAGGAGAATTCATTTGTGTTTTAGCAAGACGTTCTTTACTTTCTTCATCAGACCATGGTGGCATTCGTTCATTAATTTGATCTAATGATTTTGCTGTTGAAAATGAAAAATCTTTTATTTTTTGTTTTAGAATATTGTCTACATCATTTTCTGAATCTGTTGAACTATCAATCATTGTTAAATTTTCTGTACTACTCGTTGGGGTTAAACCTTTTAAATTAATAACATTTTCACTTGCTTCACGTAATGATGAATAAACTTTTGCCATTTTTCCCACTGCTCGTATTTTACTTCGAATTGCTTCACGTCGAAAATTATTAGCTTCCGTGGTATTATCACCATCCTCTTGATCAGGATCCGTAATTAATTCTTCTTCACTGCAAATATTCAAAATATTAATCAACATTTCTGTTACTTTTTCACCAACAAATGGTAAACTCCATGTAAATACATTCATAAAATTTGGTAACCAATATGGATGATTTGAAAAATTAAATTGTCGAATATTAACAATATTTGTATCATATTTTAATACGGCTGCCTTATTCTGATAAACATCAAGATAATTTGGAGCACTAAAAATTGTCATTAGACTAGGAAAACCTGTTTGCGGACATTTACGATACATTCGATAACTTAATAAATAAATAAATAAATAAATTAAACATTAATTCAAATAACCTAGTGTCAAAATAAAAACTTACCCCACATCTTGTGCTTCATGTGCTCGAATAACTGTAAGTAATGAATTACGTAAAAGAAAATCATGAACTGCTTTGAATGTATAAAAATAAGAACAACCACGTGTAGCATTAAATAAAAATTTTTCATCAAAACTCTTTTCTCGTCCATAATCATCGATCGGATCAGACCATAATAAATCACACATGGGTCCATAAGGTGGTGGTTCTTTAAATCGATCAAGCTAAAAATAAAAAATATGATAGTAAGAAAATATGTTATAAATAATATAATTTTAAATTACCTTTCTAATATCATCAAGTGTATTAATTTCTGGCGATAGTCCACCTAAAAAATATAAAATAATTATTTAATTTTTAATTAAATTTAAAAACTAAATATAAAACATACCATGTACACAAAAAAATTGTTTTTCAATAAGACCAGCCAATGGTAATGCATCAAATGCACGCATACAAGCATCATAAACACGTTCTGTATATTTAATTTTACCTAGTTAAATTAAAACATAATTCATTATACTATGTACAATATATAAACTAGAAAAAGAATATATAAATAAACTTGTTACCTACATTCTGTTTTAAATGTAAAATATTCTGTTAAATGTCGACATTCATGATTTCCACGTAGAAGAAAAAATGTTGTTGGATAAGTAATTTTCAATGACCATAAATATAGGACACATTCGATTGAAAAGTAACCACGATCAACATAATCACCCAAAAATAGATAACGAGTCGTTGCTGGTGATCCTAATATAATTGAAAATAAACAATTAATTTAAAGAAAAAATAGTCTGTTATACAATTGTTACTTACCACCAACTTCAATTAGTTTCATTAAATCATAAAATTGACCATGTATATCGCCACATACCTAAATGAAAAAAAAACAAATTTTTATGAATAATTTCATTTGAAAAAGAAAAAAAGAAAATTACCGTTATCGGTGCTTCTAAATCAATCAATGTATTTTCATTTCGTAATAATGTTTCACCTTTTTCAATAATTAATAATGCTGCCTCTTCTGTTAAACGTCCCTCTTGTAATAAATGTTCTTTTAATACATCTAGACGTGGTTTACTATACGCTAATGTTGTTATATCAAATAGATCATTGACATTTAAACGATGTGCAACAGGTGGAGGTAAACATCTTTCATGTGGTGGTTGTATTAATTTTGTTTTTGTAATTGAACTATTAATAGATGATGTCATTTTTTCATTTATAGAAGAAATATCCGTTTGTTGATCGATATCATTGGCTGCAATATTTGTTAATGGTTGAACATGATGAACATTTTTCGAATGATCACTAGATGAACTAGAAGGAAAAGAGAAACATTCTATTACTAAGATCATTAGAATGTTACAATATTGTTTAACAATAGTTATGTTTTTTTAACTTTTATCATATTTGTCCAAAATAAAAAAACAATACACTGATGATTCTAAAATTAATCTGATTTAAAAATAATTTGTTTTCTTGACAGATTATTTTATTTTCTGCTCAATCTCTTTCTCTCACAGTTGGAAAACTATTTTTTATATGTTACATATCTCTCAATTAAAATAATAATTATATCATAATGATTTCAATTACTTTCAGATAATAAGTATTTGAATAAAAATGAGAACTATGACTCCTTTCTTTCTGATGTTTTTACTCACCACATTTCTTCTACTGTTATTGAATTTATAAGTTTTTTTTCCTGTTTTTAAAAATATTCAAGTTAGACCAATGTATACGATTAGCGAGAATTTCTTTTCTTCTTCTGAAGCATCTTGTGAAAATTGTCTTGAACAATCATTTTTTTTCAAAAGAATACGTTGTTGTTTTTTTTCTGTAACTAGAACTTTTTTTTTTTCTTCTTCTTCTTCTTCTTGATCAACTTATTCTCTTTAAAAGTAGTGGCTTTCTTCCCAGAAAGTCCCTCGTCTTCCCCTAAAACTTTCAAAAACATAAATTATGAATTTGGATAGTGAACCAGTCTCATGCCATGAAAATAACCAAAAAATCGCCAAATTACGTTCTAAAGCTACAATTTTGTTTTGACATTCAATCATCATCAAGTGCATGTTTCAACGTCATGACACATATGTATTATCTATCGTTCACTATACTTCTCTCTCTCTCTCTCTCTTTGTCGCTCTACACTTATAAACATAAATATATATATATATATCAAATTCTTTCTGTTATACCGATTGTAGTCTATTACCATCAGTCATTTCTAATTTTTCATGATTTTTCTGAAATATTTTTTTTCCGTTTTTTTTTTTTTTTATTTTTTCTGAAAAAAATCGATCTGATAATTATAATAAATAGTTTGAATAACCATTTCCATAGTAGAGAGTAAGAGAACGAGAGAAAAATGTTATCACATAAATCTAGTACTAAAATTTTAACGTTATAAAAGTAGTAGAAATAAAAGAGATGCTCTTTATATTTTTATCACTATAAAAAATTAGGGGATAAATCAACGGCTAGAACTAACTCTATTTTGATGATTTTCATAATGATTAATATTGCATCATTCCCTATACAAGTATACTTAAAGTTATACTTTTTCTGTTGAAAATCAAAAGAGTCTACCTCTTCATATTATTCTTTCACACTAACCACTACTAATGCTCATTTCAACCGATGAAAACATTTTTTTTATATATTTTATATGTCAAATAATATTTCTAGTACCATTTATATGTGACAGTATGTTTTCTAATGACAAGAGAAATAAGAAGAAGAAAAAAAATGGAGAAAGAAAACCGACGTCACATTTAGCTATGATTCTTTATTTTGTTCAACTGATGTTACAGTGATGGTAATTTCGTGAGGAGAAGAAGAAAAAAAAATCTTATCGCCTGAATTGAAATAAATAGACTCATCAGATGAGTGGCATTAGTGGCATAGTTCCTAGAAGAAAAATAGTCTAAGCATCGTTAAACACGTAATAAGTTAAATTTTATTGTGAAAAAAAAACTAGTGAAATATTGCCCTAATTTAACATTCATTATAATAAAAGTAAAGAGTTACAAGAAGTAGTTATATCATGAAAGAAAAGAAGTTAATTACTTCCAGTTTTAGACAAAGAGAAGAAATTTCTTTTTAACTCATACTGAAACTAATTATCATAAAAAAATTGAAGTAAAATTTATCTCTTCATTAAAAATATAGTTCACGCACATTTTGATCATGTTGATGTAAACGATCATAATATGAATTATAATTTTCTTTTTGATTTTTATGAGTAAAAAACATGACAACAAAAATGATGATGTGATGTTCAGGGATTTATTTCACTTCGTGCTAGTCATTTTTTCTGACAAATCAAAAAACAAAAATCTAATTTAACTAGTGACATCGAACATACGTGAATGTTGTGAGATAGTATAAAGTACGACCGTCTAATAGAAAAAAGAGTTCGTTTTTATTTTGTTTTTCTTAAAAATTACACAGACAATAAGCGTATCATCTAATAGGTTTTTTTCACACATGAAAATGTTCGAGCTAAAACTATATACTACTATGTGCTCAATAAAAAAGAAAAAAAGAGAGAAAAGAAGAACTAAAGAAGAAGAAGAAAAAAAAATGCTATTTATTTCTGGTCTGTACTAACTTTTTCGTGTGTAATTCCATTTTGGATTTATAATAAACAATTAAATAATTAAATGATTAAAAATATTGTCCAATAATCTCATTTTGATCTAATTGTTTTTGATAAAAATAACAAAAGAATGCTTTTAACTGTCAAATACTAAAAATACATATACACACGCACGCACGCACGCAAACATACACACATACACACACACACACACACACACACAGAGACACACAGATGATCTAATAACCTTTTCGCTATATTTTTTGTACGTATGTGTGTAGAAAAGTACAAATTGTAAATTTCTATCTATAGTAGGAGAAGAAGAGAAGAAACGAGAGATAACATATTATTATTATTCTATCTCTCTACATAGGTTTCTTGTCTTTTTTTTATATCAATTTTGATTAGAGTTCTACATATACACACACATACAAAAAAAACCCTACATAGTATTCTCATCTTTTATTAGTATAACGTCTTTATATCTTTCCATGTTTAGTTGATCGTCCAAAAACACATACACAGACATTGCGAAGAAGAAAAAAAAAAAGGGTCGCTTTGTGTCGCGAGATCGTCTCTCTTTTTCCTAGTTTTTTTCTTCTTCTCTCTCTCTCTAATTCTTGTGTTTTTCCAACACCGGTCTTTTTTTGTTCTGCTGTTCCTTTCCTTTTTGTCTATAATAACAATTAGTGCGTTGCAAACTACTACTGCTACTACTACTATTACTACCACTACTACTCGTTTACATGGCATTTTTTTTTTTTATTTCCACATATTATTAACTGCATACACATATTTGTTTTCTTCCTCGTTTCTTCTTGTGTTCTTTCTCTACTAAACTGGAGATTTTTTCAAGTAATAATAAGTAGAATAAACTTTCAATTTTACAAGCCATTGTCTATGCTGACTTGAACTGTACAATTTCTATTATTTTCTTACGAGAAAACGTTCCCAGATAATATCCTCTGTTTCAAATGAATTATACCGCAATCCATCGAGCATATCCAGGTAGTAAAAAGTCTAAATGTATTCGTGCTCATCGCTCGTTGTTCAAAAACTAGAGACATTTTTCTGACTTTTCCCACCGAAACACGGGAAAATGAAAATTTTCATAACTATTTTAAAACAAGAAGTTAAAGGCTCAGTTTTTTTTTCTGTAGCGTATGTCCTCGATATTCATAAATTATTTCAGTCTTTCGTCAGGTTTTGTTCCCGAGTTATCGAAACATTGAGTTTTTCACAGATTCACCCTTTAGCGTTCTAACAAAATGATTATAAATTATTATAGTCATAAAATGACTATAAAATCGTCGAAACTTCATCAAAACTTTTGAAATTTTCGCAGGTAATATAATTTCATGTACCGTTTCTACAGATGAGAGAAAACTTTGGTTCCAAGCAGATTTGGAGTTCTATGATTATCAGAAATCCCGAAAGCTGGGGTTTTACGAATGTCGTAATTATACATTTGTACTAAATTCATCATATGTGCCAGTCGAAATTATATTAACCCCGAAAATTCAAAAATTCTGAAGATTTTATACTAGTCATTTTATTATTAGAATGCTAAAGTATGAATCTGTGGAAAACTCAAAAATTCGATAGCTCGAGAACGAAATCTGATGAAAGGCTGAAACAATTTGTAAATATCGAGGATATACGAAGCGCTACAGAAAAAAATTGAGCTTTTAACTTCTTGTTTTAAAATAGTTATGAAAATTTTCATTTTCCCGTGTTTCGGTGGGAAAAGTCAGAAAAATGTCTCTAACTTTTGAACAACGAGCGATGGGCACGAATTCATCTAGACTTTTTACTACCTGGATATGCTCTATGGATTGCGGTATAACTCATTTGAAACAAAGGGTATCACCTGGGGACGTTCCTTTATTAGGCAGAAAACCTGCTTTTTTTTCTAACACTGATTTTCAAGAAGATATTTTCTTATAGCAATTGCATATTTTGTCACTTATTTTCCGCTACAATTATACAATTCTTTTTTCAAGAAATCAAAAGCATCGTTCTGAATAAAAACTTTTGAATGTATACTCGATAGCATAACGACTTTTTCGAATTTTACTGTCAACAAATAAGAGAGATATTAACATTTGTTGGTAGCACGCTTGACGATCTATACATTTTGTTTGAAGAATCATGTTTTTCTATTATAAGATTTATATCTCAGTGATTTAAGAAGTAACATTTCATTAACAGTTTAATTTTTATTTCCATGATACTACAATTTCGATATCACCCAAGTTGTGTAAACTTTTCTTCAAAAAGTAAGCAATAAATGATTCAAAAAAACAACAACAAAATATTTAAACTTTACAAAATTCCTTCTTTAGTGTAAAATTGTTTTTGAAATTATCTAAGAAAGTTTTCATTCTCTTAAGAAATATGTGTAGGAGTAACAAATGGAAGTGTAACGTGTCAATTTACTCATCAGTAGACTTACTGATATTTGAAGATGTATGAATAAATGCCACTATAGTTAGAGTACTACCTTGTATCTTAATAAACATTTTTTGATAAAATCCGTGGAAAAAAATAAATGTTCTATCATGCAAAACACTTGATCTTATTTCATAAACATGGAAAGGAGGTATGCAATTTTTGTGGCATATTCGGGCATAGCAAACTGATTTCTATCGATTCCTACATTAGAAAAACTTGTCCAAACAAAGTAGCAAATTAAACATACCATAGGATAAAAAAAAAGATCTTGTAATATTTGCTTAGTAATATATGGTGAATGAGAGTTTATCACAATTATTTAGGAAATAATATCATGATGAAATAAAAAAATCTACAAGAACGACGAAACTTCCGTCTGATACAATGTAGCATATATCCTCTTTAATACTTAAAGCAAGCTGTTATACAATAATGAAGTCGCATCTGATATAATAATTATTTGTTTTTAAAACTTAAATATATGAGAACAAAAGGGTTGAAGAAAAGTTTTTGTTGTAGCTTAGATACTATTTTCTCAAGTGTCACAATGATCTTGTTGTATTGGGTAGAAAGTTATTAGACTATCAGGCGTTGAACATCATCATCGTTTGTCT